TTTATCACAGCAATGGAAGGCTGACTAACATGCTAGCTAAGCTGGCCCTTAGGATGCTGACCCAGACTCCTCACTTTGTCTTGACTAGGTTCTTTCCTCAATTTTATCTCCCAGATTCAGGACATCCTCAGTGCCAGCAACACATCATTCCTCATTGCTATGGGACAGTTTTCACTTTAGGGCAAATTAACTCAGAATTGACTTGCTTTCCCATCATGACTTCCATGGAGACTCTCATCTTGTCTCCTATGTCTTCCATGGGACCAAGCAGCTGGGACCATGTCCCTGACCCAGATCATTGTGTTTGGCTTCTGCCCATCTACCTACTATAGGTGCTGGTTCCATGGTGGCATAGGAACCCCTGCTGCCAAGAGGGCCCCTGTAGCCAGGGGAGTCTGGCATGCTGTGCACAAACAGATGGTGCTGGAATGTGGAGAGGCTCCCTCTGTGGCAGGGAGAGGAGGGCTGGACACATGGACAGGGTATTATTTGGAGTCACTTTGTCACTGGAAATGTACCAGGTACATCCTTAAAGCCCTGGCAGAGTGACTGTGCCCCAGCAGATGGGCTCTGAAGTTCCCAGCATGGGTCTATATCTCTGTCTGGGGAAGGACACAGGATGGGGATGCGGGGGCGGGGGGGGGGGGTCCCACAGCATGGTGAAGGAGAGCCAATGTAAGCATCTGGTTGCATTCTCTCTCTCTTTGCTGTCACCATTCTTCTAGTGCCTTCCCTCTTGCACTGTATTTCAAATCCCTTTTTAAAAAAAGTTATGTGACTAATATTACTGAGTGCCTGTTAGTCTCCATTCCAGGTGCTTGACTGTGGGACTCTGGGGATGTGGAACTTTCAGTTTAACAGGGGGAGAGGGGACTAAGTCAGGGAGCTGGAAGCAGTCTTCCTTTGGGGGGAGGTGACAGTGCAGCCACCTGAAGATGTGCAGGGAGTAACTGGGAGGAGAGCAGGGAAGGGAGTCCAGGCTGGGAATGAGTGTGCTAGGCCCCAGCATGGGAGGGAGAATGGCAAATGTGAGGAAGTTGGGAAGCCACAGTTGCAAGAATGGAGGGTGCAGGGGACAGGGTGAGAGATGAGACGATGTGGATTTACAAGATGGAGCACAGGGTCCTCGGGAGCTCTTCGTTCTGTGGGCACAAACGGGGGGAAGCGCCGATGGTGGTGGTTGTGATGACAATGGCGACCATTGTGGCCATCACACAGATGCTAACACTTTATGGTGCTCACTAGGTGCCAGGTGCTGCTCCCAGGGCTCCAATAATACCCCTTAGGAAAGAAGGGCAAAGGATAGGGGGTGAGATGCACTTATTCAAACTTTCCGAGTTTGGAGTCAGCACAAAGGAAATGCCAGCAGCTTTACACACACACACACACACACACACACACACACACACACACGTACAGCATTTTATATGTCAGTTTGGATTATGAAAAGCTGGACATGAAGCTAAAATGATTTAAGTGACTGGAAAGCCAAGATGATATGAATGCTTTGTCTTTTACCTTTTTTAATGTGCTAGAAACCCCAAAATGATATTCTTTATGAGCAAATTACATTTTACTTGTTTGTTTTTTAAAGAGTTATTAAATCAGACAGTGGATTTGGAACAGATGTCTGCTGAGATCAGATTCATCACTTGCTTTATTAGAGAGCAGAGGGATCATCGAATGCTACACTGTGCTAGGGTATTTTTCTTTTTCCTAATATTGTGACTGATACAGACTACATTAAAAAGTTATGCTTCTATCCCAGAGCCAGTTTTCATTGAGTTTTTGGAAGGGCTTTATAGGATAGAAATGAGTTCTTGTCTCTGCCATGTGACCTTGAGAAAAGGTGACAATTTCTCTCTGGAGTCCATGTGTGATTTAGGAACAAACAAGCATTCTGCACACAGATGTGCATGTAACTCACACCCCACAATGGCGACCATTGAAGCTATTCCAACATACAGTTTCCTTGTCTGTAAAGTGAGGTGACAATGTTTCAGGGCTCCTTTGGGGATTAAATAAGGCGATCCAGAACTTAGAGCACCCAGGAATGTGAGCTGTTGGCATTCATATGCATGTTGACATGGGAGCCCATTCATGGATATTTCCAGGTGTGTATTTACATCAACACGTGTGTGTGTGTGTGTGTGCATGTGCATGAACAAATACATGCATACCCTGATATACTCAAGTTCCCAAATGGAAAACTAGTCTTAGGTGGGTTTTTGTTTGTTTGCAGGGTAAGTTGGACTGGAAGGTGGACCCCACCCCCACCCACCTGACCAATGCCCATCTCCACCCCTAGTGGCTTCCTGCTGACACCCCAGGTATCTGATCACCAGCTCAGCCTGGGTGACCCTCTAGCCCCCATAGCACTTAGGATGAAATCTGTTGTTTTTCTTGGGACTCTAGATGCCTGGTCTGATGCCTCCCTAGTTCTCCAGCCTTATTTTCCCACATGCTTCTTCTCACTGGGCTCCAGCCCCATTCACTCGGGTGTGGAGAGTGCCAAGCTCTTTCCTGCCTCAGGGCCCTTGCACATGTTAAGCCATCTGCTTGGAGTTTCCCTCCCCTTCACCTGGCCATCCCTCCTCAGCCTTGAGGTCTGAGCTTGAATGTCACTCAGAAAGTCTTCCCTGCTGTCCTCTCACCCTTGTTCACTTTCAACTTAAATTCAGATTACTGTTTATAATCACATATTTGTCCCAGTGATGTTTTAAGTTGGGCGTCCCTGCTAGAGCTCCTGGCAGGCAGGGCCCAATCTGTCTTGTTCATCACCAAACCTGCAGCATTAAGTATGAGGTCTGCAAAGAACAGGTGCTTAAATATTTTTGTAACTAAATGGAAGAGAGACGGACATGAATGTAGCTAGACCTGAGAGATCTCCCCTTTTGGCTCACTTTCCTCCTGAAATTGCCCTTTGTGCACTCCCTATTTTGGAATCCAAGCCTGCCCAGAATGTAGACCTTTCCTTGAGAAACACTGCTTTGCAGTGTTGCCAATCTTAGCCCGAAGCAGATGCTGCCAGGACCCGCTCCTACTTCTCAGGTCTTGGGCCTGGTGGGGAGTGGGCACATTTTAAACAGCAGGGTCTGTAATCCTTGGCCCTTGTCCATAGGAGGCTGAGAATCTAACTGCCCACCCCAGATGTTCACCAGAGGCTGGAAGAGTTGGTGTGTGATTCCATAAGATCCCTCAGGCTTGAGTGGGGCAACCCCACAATGTATTCTACCTCGTTTTCCCAATGTCCCTGCAGGGTCCAGCTCTTGTAATTCACAGTGGTCACTGGTTGATAATGCACCTTTTAATACCTGGGCTCTCTTCCTTGTCTTCTTTCCCATTCTTCTTCATACCCCAAATTTTTGTCAGAGTCTACTGCTGGGGGAATGCAAACGTGTACAAGCACCACTGCTACATAATACAGTCATGTGCTGAACAGTGGACCATATATAGTATAGTGGTTCCCTAAGATTGCAATGGAGCTGAGAAATTCCTGCCACCTAGTGATATTGTAGTGTGAAACATTACTCACTTCTTTGTGGCAATGCTGGTATAAACAAACTTATTTTGCTACCATCATATAAAAGTATAGCATAGGCTGGGCATGATGGTGCATGCCTATAATCACAACAACTTGAAGGGCTGAGGCAGGGGGATTGCAAGTTTGAGACCGGCCTTGGTAACTTAGTGAGATCCTGTCTAAAAATAAAAAGTAGGAAGGGCTGGGTTATAGCTCGGTGGTAGAGTTTCCCTGGTTTAATCCCCAGTAAAAAAACAAACAAACAAACAAACAAACAAAAAAACCAAAACAACAACAAAAACCCCAAAAGGTATAGCACATATGATTATGTACTGTACATAATACTTGATAATGGCAATAAATGACTGTTACTGTTTTATGTATTTGCTATGCTATACTCTTTATCATTATACTACTTATTAAAAAAGTGTACTGTACAACAGTATGCCATGTAAATCCAACAGCAGCCTCATATATCTTGTGTTTACCATGTCTCCTGATTGCATATTTTTTCCCTGTACTTGATTTAATCTCATGTTGTTTTATTCAACATGGCACTAAGATAATGCCATATAGATATACTGGGTAGCCTAGGAGTGTAGTAGGCTCTACCATCAAGGTCTGTGCAAGTGCCCTGTAGTTAAGTTCATGCAGTGGTGAAATTGTCTAATGATGTATTCCTCAGAACATATGCCCCTCTTTAAGAGACATGTGACTATACTACACCATTCCATGAGCATTATTGTTATATAACAAACTCACAAAAGGCCTACACACATGTTTGCTCATCAAATCCTTCTATGAGCCCTGTGAATTAGATGTTCTTAGCTTCATTTTTACAGAGAAGGAAGTGGAGATAGTGAGATAAAACAATTTGCCTAAACAGAACAGCTAATCAGTTTTTGGTCCAGGACACTTAACATTGCCAGGACCCACAAGACTGTTTATACCAGACAGACAATTTGAGAGTGAAAGTCTGTGCTCAAGCCTCGAGATCATCTACACTTACAGAAAAGCATCCAGATGGTGGAGCACATACATAGGAATGTCTCCAAGACTTGTGCAGACCCACAATGACAGTGTGTGCACACTCAGACCCACATATACAGAAACACGTACACCCGTTAGTGGCATTTGCAATATCCTATTTAAAAACAAATAATAAATAAGGCATGTTCTATTCCAGCATCACACTCTCAAGCTTAGAGAACCGGGACTTCATCAGGTTGTCTGGCTTAGTCTCTTGCATCTGAACCACCAGACACCTGGACCAGTACAGAAGGAAGCCTTGCCAGCTAGAGACGGCCACTTAACCAGTGAGCTATTGTGAACCTTGGAATAATGACAGTCTTCTCAAAATGAAAAGAAGAGGAGTTTTTATTTATTTATTTATTTTAATAGTTTGAAGTTTAAAATTACATGGTAAAACTAATAGGCTCTTTCTGTCTCATAATTATGTTTGTCATGCTGCAAGCACTTAAACTTTTGGCTGCTGGTCTTCTTGGATGAGACTCCCAGAGTTGGATGGAATTGTGAAGCCATGACAAGCCATTATTCCATGGCCAGTGGAACCCCTCTGCAGTGCTGGCTGCCAAGCTGTGCTGATCTGCTCAGCACATACAACATGGCCTGGAAATTGGAAAGGGTGGTGTCCTCCATGGAGCTGTCCCAAGGGCCCAACTACTAGAAGGTAGGAGCCACAGGCTCAGGAGTCCTGGGAGTGGGGTGGTTCCTGGGACTCAGCTGCTCCTCCTTGGCTGGAAACACACAGACCTGTCAGGATGCTACAGTCCAAGCAAGGGCAGCTCAGGGATGACTTGCTCTTTCTGTGGAGTAATCACAGAAAATTGAACTTTAAATTGTGCTATCTGTAAAAAGAATGAATGTTGAGACCATTCTGCCAGGAACATCTTAATTTGGGGGATCATTACAGAAAGATGAGTTCAGTCCTTGAATGGACTTGGTGGAAGTTAGGTGGTGATTTGTGCTCATTATGCATGCAGTGATATTAAGAGGATGGCAAGATGAAAGTTAGCATTCCAGAAGGGATAAGGCCATCTGAATACAGTATTAGGTTTTATGACATTATGATTCTAGGTAGTTTGGGCTTCCTAAGTTACTTAAGAAATTTAATTTTTCTTAAATCAAAAATATCTTCATCAGAGCTCTTTTGGTTGCAGGTATGAGAAATCAAGGTGAACCTACTAAGGTAAGGGCAATGTTTTCTAAGTGAGGCAGGATGAGCTGGTAGAGAAATTAGTTGTTTTCTTGTTTCACAGAGCTAGCAAAGGTTATATCATCCATTTTATTTTTTTCCATATTTTTATTGGTGCATTATAGCTACAGATCTCCTCTATTGTGGAGGCCTGGTATATCCTTTGCACTGGTGGAAAAGAGGATTTTTTTTTTAAAAATAATTTTATCTGGTTATTTACATTTGATAAATTTTATCAAAATGAAAAGTACAATTTAGCCTGAGGCATGCCTGTAATCCTAGCTACTTAGAAGACTGAGGCAGTGGGATTGTAAATTGAAACCTGGGCAATTTAGGGAGACCCTGTCTCAAAATAGAATAAAAGGGCTGAGAATGTAGCTCAGTGGAAGAGCACCCCTGGGCTCAATCCCCCAGAGCACAAAACAAACAAACAAACAACAACAACAACAACAAAAAAAACAAGACAAAAAGTACAACCTAATGAGCTTTGAAAAAATATACATTCCTGGGCTGGGACTGTAGCTTAGTGATAGAGCACTTGCCTAGCATGCATGAGGCACTGGATTCCATCCTCAGCACCACATACAAATAAACAAATAAAATAAAGGCATTGTGTCCACTACAACTACAAAAAGTAAAAAATAAAATAAAATAAAAAGTATACATTCCTGTAACCCCCATCACAACCATGATACAGAACACTTCTGTCACCCCCCATAACACCCTTATGCCCCTTTACCACCAGTCTCCTTCCCTCATTGGGCTTTGGGTGTCACTGATCTGCTTTCTGTCATTGTTATGCTCGTGTAGATTTCATGTCAATGGATTCTACACTGTCCATCTGTTGGTGCCTGGTTTCCTTCACATAGCATGATGCTTTCAGGAGCTAGCCATGTTCTTCCAAACATCAGTAGTTCTCCTTTTTATTGCTGAGTAGTATTCAATTCTATAGAAATGACACAATTTATTTACCACTTTATAGATATTGGGGCTCAATTTCTGAATAAAGTACAAGCCTTGTGTGAAATTATGTTTCAATATCTCATGAGTAGGGGCTGGAGTTGTGGCTCAGGGGTAGAGTGCTTGCTTAGAATGTGTGAGGCATTGGGTTTGATTCTTAGCACTTCATATAAATAAAATAAAGGTCCATTGACAATTAATACACATACACACATTTATATATATAAAACTTGAAAAAAATGTCATGAGTAAATACCTAGGAGCAGCATTGCTGGATCAGAGAGTAAATGCATGTTTAATTCTATAAGGAACTATTGAACTTTCCTAAAGAGGATGTACCATTTTGCCTTAGCAATGTTTGAGAGTTTCAGTTGTTTCCTATACTTACCAACATTTGGTATTAACAGTCTTTAATTTTAGTCATTCTAGTGAGCGTGCAGGGACATTTCAATGTCATTTTAATTTACATTTCCAGGATCACTAAAGGTATCGAGGATCTTCATGTACTTACAAATTTGTCTTCTTTGGTGAAGTGATTATTCAAATTATTTTTGCATTAAAAAATTAGGGTTAACTTATTATTTAGACATGAGTTATTTGAATACTTTTGAATATAAATCCTTTACCAGATAAATGTTTTGAAAATATTTTCTTGTAGTCTGCACTTACTTGAATTTCAGAGAGGTGTTTAAAAAATTTTATTTTTGTGTTGTAATTGTATATAGTAGTAGGATTCATTATGCCATATTCATACATGCACACACTATAATTTGAGCAATTTCATTCCCCAGTACTTCCCTTTCTCTGTCTTTCTCCCTCCCTGCTCCCCCCGCTCTATTCTACTGATCTTCCCTCTATTATTATTATTATTTTAATTAGTACATTTTAATCATATAGCTATCAAGTTTTATCTTTCATGTTATGCTACATCTATGATTCATTGTGGTATATTCCTACAAGAACACAGCATAACTTGATAGATTTCATTCCCTAGTACTTTCCCATGCTTTCCCCTTCACCTTTCCTCTCAATCCCTCTTCTCTATTCTATTGGTTTTCCTTCTATTTTCATGAGATTCCTTTTTATTCTCTCTCTCTCTCTAGCTTCCACATATGAAAGAAAACATAACCCTTGGCTTTCTGAGTCCCACTTATTTCACTAAGCATGATGTTCTCCTGTTCCATTCACTTACTAGCAAATGGCACAATTTCATTCTCCTTTATGAGTGAGTAAAACTCCATTATATATTACACACACACACACACACACACACACACACATCACATTTTCTTTATCCATTTGTCTATTGATGGGTATGTAGACTGATTCCAGAACTTGTGGATTGTGCTCATGCTGATGGAGACATTGGTATGTATCACTACAGTATGATTATTTTAGTTCTTTTGGATAAATACCAAGCAGTGGGGCAGGGGGATAGCTGGGTCATGTGGTGGTTTTATTCCTAGTCTTTTAAGGAATCTCCATACCGCTTTCCAAAGTGATTGTAATAATTTGCAGGTCCACCAACAATACATTAAGTGTAACTTTTCCCCATATTCTTGCCATAAATTATTGGTATTTGTAGTCTTGCTGATTATCCTTCTAACTGGAGTGAGATGAAATCTCAGTGTAGTTTTGCATTTTCCTGATTGTTAAGAATGCTGATCATTTCTTCATAAATTTGTTGGCCATTTGTACTTCTTTTGAGAAATGTCTGCTATCTCATTTGTTCATTTATTGATTGTGTTGTTGTTATTATTATTATTATTATTATTATTATTATTATTTTGGTGTCAAGCTTTTTGAGTTCTTTATATGTTCTGGATATTAATCCCCTGTTACAAGAGTAGCTGGCAAAGATTTTTCTTGCATTCTTGTTTCCTTTGGTGTGAAGAAGCCAATTTATTCTCCCCATACTTTTATTGTTCCATTTTATAATTATATATAATGGTGGGATTCATTGTTACATATTTGTATGTGCACACAATATAACAGTGTAATTTGGTTGATATTTTCCCCTAGTATTTCCTCTTTTCCTCTCATTCTCCATCCCCCTTGTCCTTTTCCTCTATTCCACTGGTCTCCATTCTATGTTCATGAGAGCTAACCCACTCCCAACCCTTTTTTTTTCTCTCTAACTTCCACATGTGAGAGGAAAAGTGTGACCTTTGACTTTCTGCATTTGGTTTATTTCATTTAATGTAATTCTCTCAAGTTCTAACCATTTTCCTGTAAATGACATAATTTCATTCTTCTTTACAGCTGAATAAAATTCCATTGTGTATCATTGTGTATCTATACTACATTTTCTTTATCAATTTATCTACTGACATACACCTAGGTTGATTCCATAATTTGGCTATTGTGATTTGGGCTGCTATTGATAGAATTATGCGTGTGTAACAGGAGTATGCTGACTTTAATTCTTTAAGGTAAATACTGAGGAGTGGTACAGCTGAGGCTTGCGGCAGTTCAATTCTTAGTTTTTCGAGGAACTTCCATACTGATTTCCATAGTGGTCGTACTAATTTACAATCCCACCAACAGTGTCAAAGTGTTCCTTTCCCCTCATATCCTTTTCAGCATTTATTATTGTTTGTGTTCTCTATGGTTGACATTCTAACTAGAGTGAGATGAAATCTCTGTGTAGTTTTAATTTCCCTAATTTGTGTGAAGTTTTTTAATTTGATACCATCCCACTTATTGATTCTTGATTTTATTTCTTGGGCTTTAGGAAACATATTGAGGAGGTTGGTGCTTGTACCAATATGTTGGAGTATTGCCCCTATGTTTTCTTCTAGTAGTTTCACCGATTCTGTTCTCATTCCTAGGTCTTTGATCTACTTTGAGTTGATTTTTGGGCAGGGGTTAGAGAAGCAGGGATCTAGTTTCATTCTTATACATGTGGATGTCCAGATTTCCCAGCACCATTTGTTTAAAAGACTCTCTTTTCTCCAACATATGTTTTTGGCTCCTTTGTCAAGGATCAGATGACTGTATCTATGTGGATTTGTCCCTGGGTCTTCTATTCCATTGGTCTTCATGTCTGTTTTGATACCAACACCATGTTGTTTGTTACTATAGCTCTGTAGTAAATTTGAGATCAGGTATTGTGATAGCTCTGGACTTGCTCTTCTTGCTCAGGATGGCTTTGGCTATTCTGATTCTTATGTTCTTCCATATGAATTTTAAGACTGTATTTTTCTAGTTCTGTGAAGAAAATCATTGGCATTTAGATGGGGATTGTAGTGTTTATATTGTTTATACTATTTTCTCACCCTAGATTCTATAGGGATTTTCTGATTTGCCTTACTTTGGCCATATGTCCACTTCTGGGGCCAAATACACAGGCAGGAGGATAAGGTAGGAAGAGTGTCCACCTGAACTCAGGAATTGGAAGAGGTACACATGGTAGGGATGGGGAGAATATGTTCCTCTACAGAGAAGGATGACTAAACTACAAGAAGACATATGTGCTCTCTGCCCATCCCTGGTCCCCAGGCCTAACCAGCTTTTTGCTCCAAATGACTGCTCCAAATCAATTCCAAAGCCTTGACTGCAATGAGAATGTTCAGACGATTGTGCTTGAGGTACAGCAAACTTTCTAAGGTGGTCTCTAGGGGGCATATTTGAGTGGAGCAAACTCACTTGCGTAGGTCAGATCTGATATTTCTGTTGTAAATGTTCTTTTGTGGTCAGAAGAAAGATCTGAGTTTATATTCAGATTCTGCATATGCTAGCTTGGTGACCTCTCTGAAATTCAGTATTCTCATCTGTAGAATGGAGATAATAAGACATTTCTAGGGATTGTTGAAAGGGTTAAAAAAGATGATTTATGTAAAACCTAGCATTATGTAAATAAAGTATGCAAAGCTTAGCACAGTTGTTCAATAAAGGATTGCTATATTTATTTTGTTCTATATATACAGAGATCTGAAATTGGTTTGTGAAAGTCACATGGAACTGGGAATGGAGTTGAGTTGCTAAAGCTCTATGTTTTAGTACATGGATTACTATATGCAGAATGGTAAAAT